TCCCCAGAAGAGACTCCCGACAGTGGCACAAGAAACCCAAAACATGCCGGCACAAATCTAGCGTCCTCACTCCCAACAGGGCGCATAAAAACGCCGGTAACAACCAGATTAACACGCCGACTCATAGGGAAAGTCAATCATACCCGCGACAAATTCTCATCACGGACGTCTCCTAGCCAATTCATCCCTCATGAACGGGGGGGGGGGCGTCCTACGGCCGACGCGGTAGGGTGGGCGCGCGAGAGGGCCAGACGTAGCGCGGGCCCCGCGCAATTAGCAGCCGGATCTTGCGCCGTGGGCAGTGCGCGCGCGCTGGGTGTGGCGGGGCGCACTTGAAGTCGCTTAGGCTCTCGAACGGAACCGCTTGGCCGACCGGCGCCAGCATCGTCTCGGGCGGCAAGTCCAGGTTTGTTGCTTGCGTCTTGAGTATGACCGTGGACTCGGCGACGCAGGCGGTGGCGGCGGCCAGGTGCGCCAGACCGGCGGCTGGGTCCTCGGCGTCCTTATTCGCCCCGGCGGCGGGCGGCGGCGGCTTCTTGGACCCGAAGCCCATCGCGTCAGCGGGCGGCTTGAGGACAACGCGAACGCCGCAAGAGCCGCGGTGGGGTGTTGACGCTACCCCGCCGATCGAGATTGCGATAAATGACGGGCGGAATTCTCTCCTTCATTACGATGCTTAGACGCCTTTCACATCTACGTTGGGCTAATGCTGAACTTGGATAGCCCCCAAAACGGGATGGCGCGGCGGTGGGAACGGCGGCGAAACAAGTCGGTTCAGTACCGGAGCTCTAATGGGGTTCCGTAAGAGCTCCGCGAAGCCCAAGACCGGGCCGCCGCCCCCCGTCGAGGATGGGGAATCGCCCACCGTAAGGATGCGCAACCTTGGCTACACGTACGCGACGTCCGAGACCCGCCACCCGAAGAAGAAGGAGGACAAGCACGCGATCCTGAGGCGCATGTACAAACATGGCCACGCCCTACCACGCCCTACTAGACACGTTGCCCGCCGCCCATGCGCTTGCGCACGCCCATGCTCGGCGGCCGCGGCCGCGGCGGCGCGGCGGCATAAGCAGCGCGCGCGCGGCCACTGCATGTATGCACGCGCGCCTTCCTCTGACTCGCTGCTGACTCGCGCGCCCACCTCTCTGCAGCTTCGAGAGCGTGGTGACCAAAGAGCTGTGCACGGCCGCGCTCATCGCGGACGGGCACAACGGCGACGCGGCCTCCACCGTCGCCCAGGAATTTCTCCTCCATGCGATCTCCGCGAGGCTGGACCGCGCAGACGAGGCCGCCT